ATCGATGATTTCAGAGCAAATATCTAAGAATAAAAATACTTCTCAATATATAAAAAAACAAAGTGTATATTCACTTGGTAAAGTGTACCTTGTACACTCTAATTTTTTAAGCAAGTGTACCGCAGCGTGTATTTTTGAAATAGCAGGTGTCCCGTACATTTTACTTCTGCTGGGTACACCTGCCATTAGAAACGCTGGATCAAAGTATGCGACTTTTGTCGAGATACCACTTATAGATGACTCTGACTGAAACTATGTACAAATGATAATAATTTTATTCATTGTATTTTTCTCATAAATATTATATTTAACATGTCCACAAGATGTCGCTAATATATTGAACTTTTTATTACATTGCATTACAGTCGAAAGATTTGATTATAGTATTCTTTCTTTGGATGTTTTGATAGTGATGGCTTTAGTAAATACTTGATGGAGCATATAAATCCTTTATCATCGACAGATGTAGAAATTAGTTCTTCAATTAAAATAGTACTTCCAAAATTATCGATATGTGTTGATTTCAACAATTCAAGCCAGATCTAGGTATATTTTTGGCTATGATGTAAGCAGAGTGCGGCTGTTTCTTTCACTCAAACTCACCAACTCATACACATATGCTTGAAATCGAAGTAGCAAAATCGTAAGTTTTAGACACGAAAAAAAAAACAATTGATTATACCGATTGAGTTGAAACCTTCCTTACATAGATATTGCTGAATGTGATGAAAAAAGCTTCACGCTGTTGTGAAATACGTCAACCAAATCTTTGTTCAACATGAAAGAAACTGTTCTAGCATGATAATTGAACTATTTACTATTTTGAGAAAACATTTCTGTTTTGTTTGATTTTGAAGCAAAGACCATGTCATATTTGAAATGGACAGAAAACCCGAAGTTGGACAATGTACATTTTGTGAAAGTGAGTAACTCAGCACTATGATCGTCTTCAGTTCTTTTCGAAATAGTTCCTTTTTAGCTTATTCTCACTTCTATGGAAATACAAAAAATGAAACAAAAACTATAGAACAAGTATTTATTAGTAGCTTTTTGTGCACAAACAAAACGCGCGTTTATAAACATATCAAATATTTTTCAGTTCTGTATCTGTTCCTAGTCCATAACTTCCTGTGAACACACCTTCTAATTCAGCCATAACAACGTTATCTTCTGCGCATGAAAGAATTCGTCCTTGAAATGAATTCATTTTTAAATATTGTTGTATCAAATCTTTGTCCATTGGTTGGTTTTCTACAATTTGACCATTATCTGACTTAAGTCGATGACATCGTCCAGAAATTTTTATTTTTGCTTTAAATGGAATCGATATATTTTCAATCCATTTGACAAATGATTTCACTTCTATACATTCATTCGGTGGTACAGTAATAGTTTTTGAAATCGAATAAGTCTCTTGTTTTGTTTGTATCCACTGTTGCTGTGATTCACCGCCTAGTTCTGATCTCATGTCAATCGTACTGCCACTATTGGTTGAAATAAATGGAATTTCAGCCGTGAATGAAAGTCCCGATAAATATTTTAATGATTCCTTAAATGAATAAGTAAATGAATTAGTACGTGTAATACTTTGCGTTATGCTTTCCGTATGTGTTGAATTCAAAGTTTGATTTCGAATAATGTGAGATGAAATTAAAATATTTTCAGTCGATTTCGCCAATAACTGTGGTAATGGTAGATCAAATCCCATCCCTAATATTTCGCCAGTAAATTTGACGGATGGTATCCCATGTCGTGAAAATCGCTGCGATTTTGGTGATTTTTAGAAAAATGAGCGTAAAATCGCGATAAATCGAATTATGTTGAAAAATCAGCGATAAAATCAGATTTCATCGCGATATTGAAAC